AGGCCATTCATATGCAAAGCCTCTGTGCACAGTTGGGTGTGGCGGGGTCTCAGGGAATCAACAGGGCGGAGTGAACAGCTATGACTGATCATCATTTCTGTTCTTAAGAGGGCCCGGGTCTCAGTGTCCTGCGGAAATCGCTGCAAGCACCTTTGAGAGAAAGCAGCCCTCGAGTTCAGCCTGATGCCAGACAGTTCAGTTTCTCCCCGTATGTTTTTGGGCTTCCAGAGACTCCCCCGGAACTGGAGTTCAGGGCTGTTGGGAGCTTGTGTCTCCCTCCCAATTGAAAAAGAACCGTGTCTTCAGTTGCCAGCCCTTTCTCGTGTGCCTCCGTACCTCTGCACTTTACTTCCGCACCTCCTCTGAGCCTCAGTGTGCTTTTCTCTTTCCTTCTAATTGTAGAATTTCCACCCAGCCAGCCTTCCTGTGGTTTTGGATGATGTCCATTTTGTCTTTTAGTTGTATTTTTTAAGTGGTTGTGCGAGGCATCAATTTCAGGTGTTTACCTATGCCGTCATCTTGGTTTCTCCCCCTAAATGATAGCTTTGTTGGGTAAAGTAATCTTGGGTGTAGGTCCGTGCTATCCATCACTTTGAATATTTTTTGCCACTCCCTTCTGGCCTGCATAGTTTCTGTTGATAAATCAGCTGACAGTTGTATGGGTGCCCCCTTGTAGGTAACTAACTGCTTTTCTCTTGCTGCTTTTAAGATTCTTTGTCTTTAACCTTTGGCATTTTAATTATGATGTGTCTTGGTGTGTTCCTTTTTGGGTTCCTCTTGTTTGGGACTCTGTGCTTCCTGTCTATGTCCATAGGTAATGTGTATATTCATATAAGACTTGTAAGTCTAGCCGAAACCGGATTGGCTCAGTGGATAGAGCGTCGGCCTGCGGACTGAAAGGTCCCAGGTTCGATTCCAGTCAAGGGCATGTACCTGGGTTGCGGGCACATCCCCAGTAGGAGATGTGCAGGAGGCAGCTGATCGATGTTTCTCTCTCATCGATGTTTCTAACTCTCTATCTCTCTCCCTTCCTCTCTGTACAAAATCAATAAAATATATTAAAAAAAAAAAAAGACTTGTAAGTCTATTTCTTTCACCAGGTAGTGGAAGTTTTCTCTCATTATTTCTTAAAATAGGTTTTCAATCTCTTACTCTCTCTCTTTTCCTCCTGCACCCCCATAATGCGACTATTGGTAGGCTTGAAGTTGTCGCAGAGACTCCTTACACTGTCTTCATATTTTTGTATTCTTTTCTCTTTTTGCTCTTCTGATTGTGTGTTTTTTGCTTCCTCAAATTTCGAATCATTGATTTGATTCTCGGAATTCTCTACTGTTGAATTCCTGTAAATTATTCGTTATTTTAGTTAATGTATGCTTAATTTCTGACTGATCGTTTTCTATCTTTGGCATTCTCATGCCAAAAATTGAATAATCTTATATCCGTGGTTTTGAACTCTGTATCCATTAGTTTGCTTTCGTCCATTTCTTTCATTTGTGACATGTTTCTTTGTCTCTGCATTTTTGCCAGTTCCCTGTGTTTGTTTCTATGTATTGGGTAGAGCTGCTATGTCTCCTGGAGTTGGTAGAGTGGCCTTGTGTAGTAGGTATCCCGTGGGGCTCAGTGGCTCAGCCTCCCAGTCTCCTGAGCTGGGCACTCTAGGTGCACCCCTTTGTGGCTTGTGTGCAGAGTCTTGTTGTAGTTGAGACTTGATTGCTGTTGGCGTCACTGGGAGGAATTGACCTCAAGGCCAGTTGGCTGTGAGGACCAGTTGCAACTACAGTGGAAGAGCTGCTGTGCATGATAAAACCCTATGGAGCAGGACTTGCTTCAGTGGGGCTATGGTGCTCACTCAGTCTGCCCTTGAGTGTGTTGATTGTGGATGTGTAGAGCTGTAATCTGGTATGGTCTGAAGCTGTCCACCAGGTACACTGGCTCTTGGGTCTGCAGGAAGGTGCAAAGTCAGCCACTGCCCGGGGCCACCTGGCAGGAGCAGCAGAGAGATATGCAGACTTCTTCTATTTGTATTGGATTTGGAAGTGCCCAGGTGAGA